CCCCGCGAGAGGGAGACAGAGCCCGGCGCTCCCTCCGCGCCGCCCCGCCGGGAGCTGCGCCGGGCCGTGCCCCGGCAGCTCTGGCCTCGGCAGTGCCGGACCGAGCGGGCAGACTGCATCCCGCCCTCACCGCACTGGCGCTTCCTTGTCGTTCTGGGATTTCTCGGCCCTCTGCCGCTGGCGAGGCACCGAGGGATGGCTGCAAAGCTTCGGCTGCGACGCCGTGTGCAGGTACCAAAGAGAGATGGCTCCTCCTGGGCTCTCCCACCTGTGATGTGTTCGCACAGCCACGGCTCCAGCAGTCAGTGCCTGCTGGCATTCCAAGGCTACTTGCTGGCCGCCCTCCAGACCCAAAGCCACATCGCTGTGAGCCCGCAGTCCAGCACCCATCATGGTTATAGGCTGCTTTCCAGACATGCAGTTCTCTGCATGCCTGAGCCTGTCAAGGCCAAAATTGAGATAGCCACATGAGCCACAAAAGGGGAGCTCAGGATGTGCTGGGGTCACTACTATCCTCTGTGCCCCCACTTTAAGAGACAATAGCACTAACCTTCCTACCCTACCTCTCAAGTATGGCAGATCCATGTGAAAGAGACCACAGCCTCAGTGTCACACTGGTCCCCTTAAAAGAACACGTAGTAAGAAAAGCACTATAGGACAAAGCTGTCCAAAATTTCAGTACTGCAAAAATGACCAAATGGACTTCTTTGTGAAGGTGTATTTGCTTCAACACAAGTGGGAAGAATAAACTGAAATATACTGCAGACGACCAATATCTTCTGGCAGATGGAGGAAAAATTACTACTTTTAAGTCTACTTTTAAAGAAAATTCCACAGAAGCTCTAGCATGGACCTAGAGAAAATGGGACTTTAAAATGTTCTCAGAAATCACTCCGGCAGGTTGAGTTAGCTCTCTTGCTGAAACATGTTGTTTCCCCACATTCTGCTTTTTTGAAGCAATGATTTTATTTTATATGTTTTCACCTCCTGAATGGTCATGGGCAGTGTTGTGAAAGCAAGTTAAAATGTTACTTTAAAATCAGTGACTAAGAGGACACAAGCCAAAAGTACAATGGACAGAATGGACTAGGGAAAGCAGACTCTGTGTCTATCCCTTCCAGTGAAATAGGAACAAAGAGACAGTCAATAAAAATTGAAAGAGAGCTACACCTTCACTGATGGGAAATTGGTGAAGGAAATACCGGTCTTGAACACTATATAATTAGCTGATGGAATTAATTATTGAAAGAATGGGGATTAACAACTTAGTGAAACTAAAAAAGCAGGAGCTTTTGTACACTGTCAGGAACAAAACCTTTAGATATTGCTACCAGGGCCTGAATCACTAATTGTTGTGACATAATCAGAAGTTGCAAGACGGTGTTTTCTGGAGGCACCTTGAAGGTGTTGAGGTGTTGAAGGTGTCCGGCAGAGAAGGAAACACTGGGATATCATTGGGGCTGGCAGGGGTTGAAGGAGGACAGAGGGTAAGCTCTTAGATAAAGCTGTTGCCCTTGTAAATGTTTATGCTTATGCTCTGGGACAGTGATGAAGTATGTCCAAGAAATGAAGATTTCAGAAGATTTCTGGAGTCATGGCAGTTAAAGTATTAAAATAAACCAATCCCAAACAGACGTTTAGTAGGGTTCTAACCCACCATGACATGAGGCCCAGTCCAATATCTCTCAGACAACCACTGGGAGAGAAGATTTTTCTTAACTGTAGATCTCCTCACTGCCTGGTTGTATTTGCCTTCTCCTGCTTGTGCCCTTTGCAAGAGTTGCTGTACAGGAATAGCTGGAAAGGCACAGCATGGCCCTGGCTCTGTCCCACCACTCGCTGTCCCTGACATCCCTCCCAGCCCGTGTAGGACACTTACTCATGCAGTCTCCTCCATACCAGCCAGCTCTGCACTCTGCACAGTAGATTCCCTTGATGTAGAAGTCATCAAGTGTCCCTCCCCAGGAGCCATTGCGACAGGACTTGCAGTTCTCAAAGATGGTACAGCCTAAAAAGAGAGCCAGTGTGTTAGATGAAAGCCAAGGTGGATTGTCCTGCAGGAAGAGGAGCAGCCTCTCTGTCTTTTCCACAGAAAATGCCAATGACGTTAATGACTGTGGAGGTGCTGACAGCTTCCCCTCTGGGAACCATACCCAACCTCCACGCCCTAGGCAGCTCAGACTGAGATTTGGAACCAAACTCCCGGTCTGATTTGCCCAAACCTCTAAATCTCATTGCTCCAACTGTAAACGCCTCTCTCAGGAGTCTGAATGTGTGTACTGATGCCACTTGGGCCCAGCCTAAATGATTCTGATGATTTCTAAACTGGTCCTAGCTCCTCCTACTTTCTCCTCCTCTCACCTTTCACTTTTCTTTTTTCTTCTTGCTTGTGGGACTTCCAAGTTGTCTCTCTTTTCTTGCTTTGGGGGTGCAAATCGTCCAAGAGTACCACTAAAACACTCCTGGTGTGAAGCCAGCTATAGCGTCACCCTTTGGCAGCTTCCAAGCCTGCCCAAGACATCCTGAGGACAACACTGGTAGTAGAAAGTGTTGGGATTTTTTGGCCAGTGATGCTTCCTGCTTTGGGGGAACCTTGCCAAGTGTCTTTCTGCTGTCAGCTGAGTGGCAGATGAAGTTCTGGAGGAAATTCAGGACAATCCCATGCCTCAGTGAGATGTGCTTGTTCACCACTGTCCTGACCAGCATCTGCCATCATGCCTTGGCCAAAGATTTGGTGTGAACACAGCATAGCCACAAACATACCTGGGTGGATTAAACAGGAGTCACACTCGTTCTCCTCGTTCCTACAGCAGGGAATGGTGTAGCCCACTCTTTGTTTCTGTCCTGGGCAGATGCACTCAATTTGGTCATATTCACAGCATTCCCGACACATGATATTCCACTCAGCTCCTGGGCAGTTTTCATTGATCACTGTGTACTCTGCAGAGAACAGAGAGGAGGACACATGGAAATAACCCATATCTGATGAGGACTGGCAGGATCTATTATCCAGTGGTTTGTCAGATCATGGATGGCATGGGGCTGGCCAAGATCTTCAGCCCAGAAAAACCCAAACTAGGTGGTAACATGTGCCTGAAATGTCAGCGTGGTTTGTGTGTCTAAAGAACATGCAGGAGTTTTGCAGTGCCAGCCAGAGGAAGCAAACAGACCAGGGGGAAGGAATATGTTTACTTTCTCAGCAAGGCCTTCCCACTTCTGTGGTGAGAAAAATAGCTTTGAAAAACCACAGAGGATGACATCACATGAGAAAGTTTCTTCAGATTGCAGGAGTGATTTAAAGCATCGTATATAGCATAGATTATTTAAACTATGATAGCATGTTTTGGCTGTATTTCTGCTTGTGAATCTGCTATTCTTGAAAATTAAGGGGCCCACCAGGAAAGGCGACTTTGGAAAGTTGGATTTTAGCTGGTTTCACTCCCTATTTTCACCCAGATGCACATTTTGTTACATTTGACTTCCCTGCCAAAGGAAATAAGATTATTTTGGTTTTTTTAAAGGTTAATTTTACCTGGAGTTTCTTATATGGTAACATCTTTCTATTATTTAGCATAACCTCATATTATATCTAAGCTATGCTGGAAACACCCTTTTAAGAAACAACCTCAGACTGTGACTCAGGATTGCCACAGTATTATAAGGGCAGATTCTGTCTTTCCCCACCAGTGTGCTGTCTAAATTCTACAAAGAGAGATCTAAGGAATGCACAGAGCTGTCATCGTGTCTTCTAACCACCTGACAGCCCTGATGACTGCTTTCATGGAGTTTGATAGTAAAAAGAGAGAGCAGACTAGAAAGACGAGACATGAAGAAAACTTAATGAGACTAGCTCTTTTTTCCCCTGCTAACCTATTTTTCTTTTTTTTTTTTCCTTTTTTTTTTTTTTTTTTTTTTTTAATTGCGGTTAGGTAACCTTTTTCCTTGTATATTAAACTCTGAGTAACAGAGTTGCCTTGTCATGAAACAAGCCATACATCTCTAAGGTGCAAAACTCCCATGCATGCCTGTACCTGGCTCCCTTCTCACACAACTGTTTCTCGTTTCACTGGCGCTGATAACCCAATTACTGTGCCTGCTGGAGCTCCCTAATACTGAGCCTTGCTGCTCTGTCTCACTTGACTCTCTGTGACCTCATGAAGCCTGGTTCCTGGAAGCTTATCTTCTCCCCTAATGATTTTTACTTACTCCATAAAAAAAGGACCACCAAACTGTTTCTTCTTCACCCCATTTGGCTGGGAAATGAAATGCAGCCCTTTGCACTCCTCAGAACTGAGCCTTTCCCTTGTGCCTGGTGTACCGATCGGGGAGAGTCCGCGGCTGCTCTAAGTTTAGGAACGAGGCTGCTGTTTGTGCTGAAACCTTTCCATTCCCCCTCTCTGCCCCTATAATCATTCAAAAAAGAAAAGGCTGTTCCTGCCATGCAATAAGATTCTGTAGTTTTTTATTCCAGTAGTGGAATCTTGCATTGAAATAATCTTAGTGTTCAGCAGTTATAGCTTCTTTTGCCTGTAGATCTTGACATGCTTTACAAAGTTCTCATTCCAGATGGGAAGATGAAGCACATGGGAGGTGAAGTGACTTTGCTCAAGGTCCCAGGGAAAAACAGTAGTAGAGCCAGGAATTAAACTCATGCCTTCTGTTTTCCAGAATGGCAGTCAATCAACCTGGCCAAGCTGGGGCTTCTTAACCTATGGCTATTATTCCCTTTTAATTAAGCCTTTTATCTATGAATTGTATCTGATTCAGATTCCAGAGAAAATTAATTACACACATCTAATTATCTCTATAGAACTGACACTCAGTTTGATTCATCTCACCATACCAGACAGACAATAGCTGTGTCTCTGGTGTATGGGGTGGGGGTCTCACTCCTTCCTGAAGCAGTAGTATCTAAAGTCTGACTAATAAATAATTACCCAACACTCAGAGCTTTTGTAAAGCATCCTTCAAATTCTCATTTTTTCTAACTCAAGATAGAAATCTAATTTATCTCAAAATAGCTAAAGTCTATTAATAAACTGCATATATTATCCAAAAGAAATTTTTTTCTGTAAAACGATCCAAATATTCACAGGCGAAGTTACATTGGGATGACAAAGGAATGTCTCCATCCTTGCAGGAACTCAAATCCTGGCAAGATAAGGCTGTGAGCAACACAACTTTCATGTTAGAACCAAGAGATGGGCTGGACCATGTGACATCCAGAGGTCCCTATCAACCTAAATTACTCTACTCTTCCCTAAAATATTACTCATGTATTTGTATGTAGATAGAGAGTGTGAATGTATGCATATGCATACTTATTTTTATATGTAGAACTTGTGCGCACAAGAGGCAAAAAGCAGAGGCCACACTTATTCTTGGTGGATCAAATGTGTGCATTTGTAGAATAAGTTGACCTTGAGGTAATATTTAGTGTTAAGAAGAGAGCAGCAGATCCTGGCCCTTAAAAAATTGTAAAAATACGCTTGCTGCCACCTAGAAATGCTGTTTGCTCACTTCTTTTGTCTCAACTTAAACAATGAAAATAAACTGTCTTTTGATTTACTGACAATTTAATTCCCTTTCAGGCTCTTGGTTTCTGCAGTTTGGGAAATTTATATAGCCTTGACAAGGAAATATATGGATTTGAGATTTTTTTTTAAGTGACAGTTTACCACTAGTGGACGCGAAATAGAAGCGTGGATTCAAATCACAGTAGCAGAGGCTTCTGCCTTCTTGGGATGAAACCTCTGCTGCTGTGATTTGCACCCACACTTCTATTTTGTGTCCACTAGCGACAGCTGTTCTAGGATTTTCTTCACAAAAATCATGGAATATATTAATTTAAGGTTCTGTAGAAGCTATTCTTTAAAGAAGTATGATTGAAGAGTTTATGCATCCCTTTAATAATAGCAGGATCCCTTTTGTTTTATCTCTGGGCTACCAAAAAAAGGCAAATAAAACCTTTGCCTCAGAAGTTTAAGAGGGATATGCAGAGTCACTTATGTGTGTAATCAATGTTTGTTTGTGTGGCTGAGCTCAGCCTGTGCTTCAGGGAGGCAGAGGCATAACTCTGCTCCTCCTTGTGTGCTTGGGGATGGGCAGCCACTGGCAGCTCCCACACATACACTTGGCCAATATTACCCCAGAACAGAAGAGAATGAGGCAGAGAAAAGTGGGGGAAGATTTATTGACTGAGTAAAATACTGAAAGCAAGGCCTTGGCCAGCTGTGGCAGAGATAATTGTGGGGTGTTTTGTGAGCTTTACTTTGATAACCTTCCAAAGCAGGCAGTCTGGCTTGCAGGCAGTGACTGTGTCTTTGATTTTGGGACAAGCCGGAAGAAGCTGCTTGACAACCCATGCAAAATATTTAGCTGCAAAGACCAAACAAGACTCTGGACAGGCAAATAAACAGTGGATTAATTTATGAGATTTTAATGATGGAAGAAAAGCCCATTAAATCCAGGCATAAACAGCTCACATGGAAGCAGCTCAAGACCATGGAAACCAAGCAAGAAATGCCTGTGTTGGGAAAACACACAAATATCCAGGGCGTGTGCTGGAGGGAAGACCTGCTTGGCTCAGGAGCTGGCACAGCCCAACACAAGTCTTCACCTGATGCTTTGGGTCCAGCCTGAGCAGGACTGTGAGATGGGAGAACATTTTCAGGTTCAGATGGCAGCACATTCATGCTTGCTGCCTACATCTGCACCTAGCAAGACCTCCTAATCACTTCAGCATGTCAGATCCTAGAGGCTGTCTAGGATTTTGTAGGACACCAGTTGGAGGTGATGCTCCCAGACAATGTCCTCCTTGTTGGCAGTGTCAGTCCAACAGCAATTCACCTCAGTGGTGCTGCTGCCTACCCTCATCCCCAGGACTGAGATCAGGCTTAAAGCTCTGATGATTCAGGAACAGATTCACACGCACATTCCTGCCTCAGGGGTGGGTCAGGCCACTCATCATGGTAAAATGTCAGCTTCAGGTGACTAATCTTTCGCCATTGTGAATTTGTATATCATAGATACCTTGCTAGAAGGAAAGGGATTTCTGCTCTGAAGATCTGAGAGCTGGGATAACTGTGTAGCTAAGAACTAAGGTGAATTGAAGCAAGCCCAATTACACCAATTAATCTCTTGTGTTCCACTTCTTTGGAAGAATGATGATTTTTTTTAGAGTACAGTCTGTTTAAGCTGATATAAGCTGGTGCTGCTGCTGAAATGGAACATTTTTCTCCCTCCTCTCCCTGACTTCCCATTCCCATCCCTGTATTTGTGCTGACAGTAGCTGCTATGTGGAGGGATCAGATGACTGATTGAGCAAAAAAACAGTTTGCCATATCTGTCCTTGGAGGGAACTTCCTGTGCTACAACTCCATTCTGTTATCCTCCAAAAGTTTTCCTTCCATGACTTAATTTATCCATCAATACATTGGTAAACACTACTTAAGCTCAAAGAAATTCTATTTCAAATTGCTTTGAAAACTGCAAACTGCTGCTTTCAGTAACACTGCAGTGTAAGACTAGATACAAACAGATACATCTCTAGAATTTGAGTCCATAGAGGATGCCTTTTTCAAAGTGATTATTTAATCCATTCATGTTCCGCAGATGAGAACATCTCCCTTAGTATTTGATTTCATCTTAACTTTTCAACATACTGGTCAACAAAAACTACTGTCTTCTGCTGAAGAAGCAAGCAGTTGAATTTGAAAGAGCAATTTCTTAAGCCTGTTAGTAGGGAATGTTTGATCATGTCATAATTCTGAAAGGATTCTCTAATCTGAAAGGATTCTTTAACTTCTCATTAAAGAAAAGACAGCTTAATCAGAGATGAAACCTAGCAGCAGCTTACACTTTCTTTAGGTCCATCATATTTTTCTGCTCCTTTCTTATTTAGCTCTACTGCCACTGTACAGATATGCAAGCTGGGCCTCACCCCACAGAGGTCAGGTGTGTGGACATTGACAACAGGAGATGCTCTGCGTGCAACACTGGCTGAAACTGTGGCTCCACTGTGATGAATGGTAGAATTCTCCATTTGATTTCAGTGAGGCCAAGAGGAAGACACCTTGGAAGGGAATAGGGACGTTCCCTTCAAAAGACTTTTACTGGGGCTCTTGGAAAATTATCTACCCCAAACCCTTAATAATAAAGGAAAATGCAGGTCTTTATTGTTAACCTTCTTGCCTCAGATAAAATATTGTGCAAATTATGTCTGTTTTTCTATTTGATGTGTTAAGAGGATGAAAGGGATAATGCTGTCTCTAAAACCACTTGCTTCTCTTTAGAAATTATGTGCCTATTACTCTTTTCAGCAGCTGGGCTAATTAAAAGAGGAGCTAAAATACATCAGTGTTTTAGTTTTACTCAGTGTGCTTACTTTATGGTCACAGACCTTTGCTGAATAATTAGACTGCTCCTTCTACAGAGTCAGTTAGCATCCTTTTCTGCCAGTGGTGTGAGCTTTCACACAATGGCAAGTGGGAAGAGGCAAAAATAAAGGGTTTCTATTAAAAAAAAATAAAAATAATCAAAGCCAGTGGGAGAACACAGGAGGAAATCTACAATACTAAGTGGAATCTGTCTACTTAATAAATGCACAGTAATTTAACTGTCTTTTTAAATTTTTCTTCTTTAGTTTCTTCCGCAATATTTATGACCTGGCATTTGTGATCTTATTATTGGCACTGTGGCCTTGTGGCTTCATTTGAGAAAAGCTGTGGCAGGAAGAAACAGCCAGGTTAAGGCTCTTCAGAGGTTGCCACATTACCCTTCAGGCTTTGATTCTTTCTGGGACCTTATTCTGGGCAGAAAAATGATACTAGTATGATCAGGAAGAGAATTTGTTTTCTCTGTGCTGCAAGACAAGGAACAGGAACAGGTAATGAATGTAGAACTTTTGAGTAAGTGACAGCATTGATGATGTTAGACCTCTGCAACAGGGGAGAATGTTTTCAAATCTGCGGAGAAGAAGCAGCTGCAGTATTGAAATTCATGACCACATAACATGAGAATGTACTCGTGTCCTAAACGTAGAGGAGAGGCGCTGGACCTGTCTTGAGGACTTGCCTCTCCTAATGGTGTGAGACCTGCAACATGTTGACAACTTTACTTGCAGTTAACGCTGCCCAGATAGAAATAGTCCAGACAGACAGCAGCAACCCTCCTCAAACTGTAGTCCTTACAGCTCCTGTGGAGTGTGCAGTGCAGCCCTAACCAAGGACTGAAGATGCCCTCATCCTGCCAGGCCTCTGTCCCTGCTGATCGCTTGCCTCCCTGCCCCGTGGCCTTCCTTCCAGTTTGCCCCTCACCAAGTCCCTGTTCTTGCAGGAGGCAGAGGGGCATCCACATGCCCAAGGGAGGTCCTGCTGCTGACAACTGCATCGTCCTGTGGTGCTCAGGGGTCCTTCAAGGCTGGTGGAGAGGAAAATCCTGGGCATTGGCAGGCTTGCAGGGACTCCTGGGAGCTACTTGAAGAGGCCTCAGGGTCAAAAGTGAGTAACCCCAGCTTTTTTTCCAAAATAAAAAGCAAATCTCTTTCCTTTTGTGCATGCTAGGAACCTAAACATGTGAACTGAAGTAACCCATTTGCTAAGATTGAATGCATCTGGATGTGTCTGAGTGCATCTGGCCTTCACTTCTCTAGACAGAGGCTGGAGGGGGAGGGGAAGAGAGGTTGGGAAGGGTTTAGATAGGCAGAAACACACAAAAACACACATATATTTTTAAGGAAACATGAGTCACTTGCACTCCAAGTTTATTCCAAAAAATAAATTCCCAGACCGCCCTGACTTCTGCCCCCAGCTCTCGAGGCAGGCCCTGTGCAACTGGGTGTGATAAATATGGATAAAAATTGGATACATCTGTGGGGAGGAGACAAAATGCTATTTTCCAACCTGCCCTGACATGTTAAGGCCACTGCACTTTGGAGTTGCTCCCCTGTGTCTGAAAGCCCCTCCTGCAGTGGCTCTCGGGCAGCTCCTGCCCCCGCATGTGCCAGCTGTGTGCCAAGGCAGTGCCACCAGCTGCTCCAGCAGCAGCAGCAGGGCAGGGGAGGCACGGCAGGGAAGGGCAGGGGGCGAGGGGGACAGCTGAGGTCCATGTGCCCCACAGGCTCTTCTCATGCTGCTCCTGGAGCATGAGGAGTGTCTGTTGGGGGAACCAGCACCCTCCCTCCAAAGCTCACAGCCCCACAGCCCCTGTGTCCCACTGGCCAGTGTTGTCCTGTCCCCTGCCCCGCCTTGTCACCGCTGCAGAGGGGACTCAGCGCTAGATTGTTCTGCAGAACAGATTCTTGCCATGAGAGAGATGTGCTGCCTCTGCAGCAGGAGGGGTTTATTCCCACCCAGCTGCCTGACAGCCACAGCCTATGCCCAGGGATGCTCTGCCACTGGCAGGGCTAGTTCTGTGCCACTCCAGCACACTTGCCTAGCCAGTGTGCAGGGTGGCACATGTCTGAGGGACAGGCCGCTGCAAGGCCAAGTCAGTGCTTGTGGCACAGAGGTGGGGAGAAGCTCTCTGTGCTTGTGACCCAGGGGCAGCTTTGGCAGGAGGCCAGCCTCCCAGGATGGCTGCAGCTGCTGGTGGCCAGCCTGGGTCATCACCTGTTCCCTGTGTCCTAAGGGGTCAGCAGGGCAGAGCAGACCCTCTGCTGCAGCCCCTGCTGAGGGGACCTCTGAAGCACCATCCTTGACACCAATTCTTTACAGTCATTGAGATCTGAGTGCCTGCAGATCTGACAGCTCCCCTGGTAAGAGAGTCAGCAGTGCCGGAATATGCAGCAGCTTCAAGGGTGGGTGACTTGAGGGCAGCTCACCTCCCAGTCCTTAGGGCTGCAGCTCCCAGGAAAGCAGCCTGCGATGCTGACAGCTGGCTGCTGCAAGCAGGTCTGGACACCTCCAGGTGTAAACAGCCCAGGTTCGTGGCCATAACTACAGCAAATTTACACTCAACAGTAAATGCTTTTTCCTCAACCTTATCAAGATAATGCATGCTGGTTCAGCAGAAACTGGGATGGGGCTTGAGTATAAAAAAGATCATTCTGCTTTAACAAGGCTTCCCCTTCAAAAGAATAATATTGGCAGAACTAAATCCCAGATTGGAAACAATGTGTGGGTTTTGTTTTCTTTTTTTTCCTTCACTTTTTTCTCCTTTGCCTTCATTCTTGGTGTTGGGGCTGGAGAGGAAAAGTTCTGTGTTGCCAAACTAAACAAATTACGCTTTACAAAAACTTAAATGCCTCTTTTTATCATCATTTCCGTAGCACTGAGTGTTGAGAAAATAAAAGGAGTAATAAGCAAAGTGATTGCATACCTTTTTCTTAATGGCCTTTGGCAAACAAATTCAGCCAGTTGTTTCTTTTTAAGGCTATTAAGTTTGCCTGAAAATCATTCCTGGTTAAACCTACACACACACACACACACACACGCACTCCGTGCTGACAAGAAAAAAGGTACATAAAAGCAGAACCCCTTCTTTCTATTACTGCTGTCCCTGCAGATCTCTCTGCTTCCCATGACAGCACATGAGATCAAACCCCTCTGAGCACGCGGAAGGAAGGGGACTCATTCGACCATGCCGGGAACACACACGCTCTCTTACAGTACCTCTTGGCAAGCAGGAGATGAGCAGGAGCTGGAGAAGAGTAAGTCCTACAAGTGTCCAGGGTGCTCGCTCCATACTGCCCAGGCCAGTGCAGCGGTGTGACTGCTCGGGAAGGGAAAGCAGGCAAACAGCTTTTACTGGGACCTCACCAGCTCCAGGCTGCGAGGGATCTCGGATTTCAGACCTCAGCACGCTCCCATCCTCACCAGAGGGGAACTACCTTCAAGAGACTTCTCAGGCGTCCAGAAGCACACGTCACCCCAAACCTCTCCAACTGCTGCCTTAACCCTTTCTGGACTCTGGCAACAGATCCTTTTTGTGACAGCTTTATTGGCTCAGTGCTCAGAACAGAGGTAGCAGCTTTCCTTATGTAAAGAAAGATGTTTTAAAGCGGAGAGAAAAAGAAATGCAGATACCTCTCTAGATGAGCCATCCCAGTTGCTGCGGGTGAGCTGAAGTTACAGACATCTCCAGAAGGAGGCACTTTGTCCTTGCTCCAGTTGGGCTTGTGGATGCATCCCGGGGGATGGCAATGCTGGGTGTGGGCTGGGTGCAGAGACAGACTCCTATCTCACAGTCCTGCAATTGGGCAGCCTGGCCAAGTGACATGGTTCACTTTACGACGTGCTTAAAATAGCTGTGCATTTTTATGGTGGGGCAGATGAATGAATGAGGCTCAGTAGAAGTTCGCTCCACAGTGGATGAAAACCACAACACACAAAAGGAATCACTTGGCATACATGTGCTTGTGCTAGTCAAAACCTTTTTACTGTCCATTTCTGCCAGGAAATGCAATTTTGGCAATATTGAAATGTTTTGTCGGAACGCGTTGATATTGAGGAAATGTTTAATCCAAACAAAGGAGACCATTTAGTTTGGATTTTGTCTTTGTGTCATATTTTGTTTTGCCTTTTCTATTAGCACATGCTACCGACTTTTTTCTGGTCTTCAACCCATATTTCATAGCAGCATACTTAATTTTCTATAAAATTTTTCTTGAACAATTATTTTATACTTTCCAAAAAATATGTGTTTTACCTCTAAATCAGACTTTCTCAAATTGATTTCTATAGCAAGATTTCAAAATTTACATATATTATGGGGGGGGCGCAGAAATTGAAAAATTGGCATTTGCTTTAGAGTAGCAAATTAAGTAACCCAAAACGTTTAAACAAATACCTACAGCTGTTTGTAAAACTCAGACGTGTTGAGCAGTCTCAAAAATTTGAGTGCCATTGCCAGTAGAAGCCTTGAGTAGTTCAGTGCAGTGCAAAATCTTCTACACCCTCAGGTGGTCTTTCCTGGGGTGAATTCCTTCAACCAGACATGTCTCTAGTTTAGGCTTGTCTGTCTGCCAACCTCTTGACATTACACTGTGGACAGTCTTTTCAGGTTTTGTGCACCTTCCATATAAAACAGTACCAAAGCTGTTATTTTTCCAAATCTCTTAACAATGATACAAACCTACCATTGGGAACACCAATAGAAGAAGACCTGAGATGGGTGCCAAGATTTTAACCATTATGGTGCATAATCCCTGCTGAGCCAGCCAGGCTGCTGTCCTGGATGCTTTGCAGCTCAGGAAGAGGTCACCAAAGCTCTCCAAGTCCTATTGGGTCTTATTATGGCTCAGTTACTTTGTTCTCCTGGAGCCCTTGCTGGACGTCTCTTGCCCCAGGGTCCTGTAACTCTGCCTTGGTGGTCCCTTGCTCCTTTCTGATTGTTCATATATATGCTCTAAATGCCTTCCTAATTCCAGCTTTGGGTTCCTCTAACAAACCTCTGCTGGTCAGTAGCAGGAGGAAAAAAACTGAGGAAAAAAATAAACCCCCAAGAGTAGATGAAAACAGTGAAAACGGGAAGCTCTTACATCTTCACAAAGAAACACTAAGCTATTTTAAAGCCTGTGGAATCATGATTAGTTTATTTCCTAGCCATTGTTTCCAGTAAGCAATTAAATTGTTTAAGCTAGTAAGACCTTTTTGGACTGCAAGTTGACTTACAGATGTCTGAGGCTTAGATACCTCTGAGGAGGAGGCTCATGGGGATGCAAGCCAAAATCTGGGTTTGGTGTGTAAAGTGAATGGAAATCACAGAGCACTGAATGAGGCTGGACACAAAGAAACAGAGTTTTAAGGCCAGACATAGAGGATTTAATACTTGGTTTCAAAAAGGCCAGAACCACTGGTCAAAATATACCCACAAGGGCCGCAATTATTCATTTGAGTCAATTCCTGTGAGACATTCAACATAGCAGAAAAGGAGTAGATGAAGTTGTGTCTTTGCAGGAATCAGCTCTGCAGGGACACCTTCTGTTTTAGGGTGGGAAAATGGTCCTTCTCTACTAAGGGGGTGTGAATTAAAGGGTTAACTGGTAGATTTATAACATCTTTTTTTCCTTTTTTTGTCTCGGAGGGAATGTAATTATGCCACCAGAAGATACAACTACACTCAGCATTACTCTACTGTGCTTAGTTTAGCTTGGCACCTTGCAAAATCAGTTTAGTTGGTGGATGCACTGTCTCCTTAGAGAATGGCTCAGCAGCCAAACAAGAGAATTCAGTCATGAGCCCACAAGTTTGCACGTGGCCTATTTACACGGGTGTTCTGTTGGGATGTAGCTTTAGTCCCAGGAATGATTCTGGGCAACTCACACGTGCTTCTTGCAATCTTATTAAGAGGCAAGGACCAAACCAGGCACAGTGCACCAGCCAAATATTTCAGGTTGTATGTAATCCCCCATGAAAGAAAGCTAAAAGCTCTTAACCATGTGTCTGTGCTGCTGAGGAATCTCACCGTAGCATTTGGCTTCAGTGTTTGTATCTGCCTTGCTGTTGAATGTAAAGGTTTGGAAAGTACATTCTACTGAAATTGAATTTTAAAACAGAGTGCTGCAAAAACTGTTAGAGTTATTTTGTATTAATAATAACTTCCAAGTACCTAGCAATCCATTTCAACCTAGAGTAAAACAAGAACTTTAATAATTAATAATGATCAATTGACCACTGAATGAATGTGCAAATATATGCAATTAGTACCACCAGCTCACGTTTCTAATTTGCTATGAAATCTGAAAAACAGTGTGTGGTCCAACCTGCAAAAACAGAAATAATGCCATTATTTTATACTGAGGAAAAGTGACATGCAGGGATATGAGCTGAGGCACATATCCTGAAAAACAGTGGCAGGTCCAGAGTGGAACACAGAAACTTCATCCCATTTGGTACTTGTAGCTCTGGACTGTCCTGCTTGAGAGGACTCAGTGAAGAATAATTAAGGATGGATATATAGTTCTGAATAAATTCAGTTTGGACTTGAAATAAAAATTACTGCTTTTCAGTCTTAAAATTTTAGTGAACTTTTTATTTCCCCAAAAACTATGGAAATCGCTCATTTCTGTTACTTGTTTCTGTTCTGTCACTGGAACATTGCCAGAAAAAATTCTGCTTTTGTGACTTCTGCTCAGATGATTCTGTCCCAAATGTTCTTAATCATCATCCAAAGCTCCAAAAGTTCTGCTAGGAGGAAATCTGAGATTTTCAATGTTATTCACTTCTGCTACTACAGATTAGATGCCTTCACAGGACTTCCTTCTTACAAGAACATTTGGAGCCCATTTCTTTTTTTTACGGGCAATATTCCCACTTAACTAGAGGAGTCTGCTGCCAAAGAAAGAGTTTGAATCATCTGCACTCAAACATGATCCCGAGAAGGTTGTAGGAATTGGATCTTGAACTTTAGTGACTGCCCAATAATACCCATCCCACTCAAACAATACATGAAGGAACCGCTGGAAGGACATCATAAAAGCAAATGGACCCTTTGAGAGGGTGAGAAAGGATTTGTATCTCGGAGGGAAATGAAGTCCAGATGAAACTCAGATCTGTTATTTTAGGAGTAACAGCGAGAGAGGTTAATGAAGGATTAGCACTAATATTTTGCTTCTCCCTTCAAAACATTGTTGTCCAACAGGGAGGATCCTTTTAGAGGAGAGATTATAAAGTGTTTGCCTTTAAAATAAATCTTTTAAACTAAATTCCAGACCTTACTGGAGTATCTGAGGAACATTTTATAAATTCCTAGGATTATCAAGGGTGTACTTTGCCCTTTGGGCTTCAAGTTCTGCTGAACATGTGCAATGCAAATATCCAGTATTCACAAATTACATTGGAATTGTGGCAGCCTATCCACACAGGCACCTACAGATAAGGGCCCTTTGTTTGGCTTTTACTGGCCTGAGCTCTACAAAATATTCCCATCTCTCTGTGAGGTGTTAATCCTGTGACTGAAGCATTACAGTCCAGGAGAGCTAATTGGGTGTGAATAAAAGTGGCCAAAAGAGGTAGGAGCTGCAGTGCCAGCAGACAATACAGCCCTTGACCTAATGGGATATGTAAATGATGCTTTGTTAGAAAGCATTTGTATTTGATAATGTATTTGTTAGAAAGATTTTGTCAGGGAAATTGAAACAGTTTAAAGTTTAAAATTCCAAATATATTTCTGGACAGATCAGCAGAAAAATATGGCCAGAAAAATATGGCTGCTTAATGGCACCTACCAAGCAATATGCTTTTTTCAGTTTTTATTACATGTCTTTGTTGGGATGTTTTTTTAGTGATCCTTCTGTGTTTCACTTCTATATGCGATCTATGATAATCTTCACCATAGCAACGTGTAAGAAGAGAAACAGGTGGAAGATTTGGCTTGAATTAAGACTTAACAATCTGATATTACTGTCTAAGGGGATAATAAAAAGGGCAGCAATTATTTATTTCCCTTTGTGGAAATTAAGAGCTTGTGGATTCAGTTGTTCTTATGATACACATATTTTTGGTTTGAAGGTTAACAAATAAGGCTTTCTAGGTTGAATAAAACTTTTAGTCTGTATAACAAATTCAAACTGATCACCAAAACATCAGAGACACAGAAAATTAAGAATTGCTTTGATTTTATTTAAGTTGGACCTATGGTCTTGTGTAAATGTGAATCAGGATGGAAAACAAGAAAAGACTAAGGTTTTGGGATGAAAACTTCGCCATGTTCCACCAGGAAGGCCAACTGCAGCATAAAGTCCAGTCAGATGAATGTATGCATGAAACAAAGGTGAGAAAAATGTATGTGGGAAATAAGTGGTGGAAAGTCAGCTTTTCAGAGGTGCTCATTATCTGATTTTTCAAATTGTAAATGTAAAAGTAGAGCAGTTCTGGAAATACGATTCACACAAGCTGTAACTGTATTGCAGCTAGGTAATGGAGATGATGGAGTGATGTAGGACTTGAGCAGTGCCAACAAATTAAGAGCTTAGTCTGAAGTACTGATTCTTTGTCATCTTCTTTTCTCTTTTCATTGATCCTCATAAAAACTGAAATTAAGGCTCACTTTCTCTATCCCCGTGGATCAAATTTGCCAAAATGTCCTTAGGAAAGTTCTGTGAAAACATCTATCTGAGAACAACAGTGAAATTATAATAACAGTAACAAAACCATTCACCTTTCATGCAGTTGTTTTACATGCCACACGAGTAAATAGTCAGGAAATGTACAGTGACACACCATTTATTTTTCTGATACAACTTTTGGGAGTTCTGCCGTTCATCATTTAACACCATCTGATGCTAATCAGTTCTCAGGTTTTTTGTACTTCTCCCTTGGTTGACTTGACTGACCTTGACAAAAAGGGAGAGACTGAAATAAGATGACAAAGATGATAAAAAGAAATACATATAATGATTCAGAAAGAAAGAACAAGATTACTCCGACTAATAGATGAAGTGGCTGAGATCTTTCAGACCAGTAGTCTGTTCTGAGAACAGTTGGACAAGGTCACCAGGGGATTGCAAAATCTTTTTCTGTCCCTTCCAAGCACTGATGTGACAGCTTGACAGTCCTGATGGTCCTGCTCCCACATACTTATTTTTCACATCATCCTTGTCATCTTTGAACT